AGCTTGTGCCTATAATTTGCTTGCTCTTTTTTGTACCTTTGCATATACATATCTACATGATATGTGTAAAATATTAGGTACTGTTTTTAATTCAAATTTCGAATTGTTTGATGTTGATAACGTCATCACAAAATTCTGTACAGTAAAAACTCATTTAAAACATACGCGTAGCACGCTTCTTTACATTTACTTTAACATTATATATACATGTTTATTTCAACTTACAGGGGTTCCCATAAAAAATAAAACTCGCAACATCAAATTTTATAGTTTTTTGAAAATGCTGGATAAGTTTCATTGTACTTTAGGTGCGAGGGAAGTTCTGTCGAAACAACCTTCGACCAATTTTTTCCTACTCTTGGGTTCATGAACATGACCCATCGAGAAAATATAAAAATCACCTGTCTCCCAATAGACTCGATTACAATACTTCTTTAGCTTACTCTCGGGAAGTAAAAACGAACCCATTTAAGTTTTTTAACATATCTAGATATTTCTGTTGTAAACAGCTTATTGGATGTCTTATAAATGTGCACGACCGTAGAACACATAGATCGATACACTATTATACCTCCGTATAGTCCTCATCAGCGATGCAATTGGCCGATCACCGTCGCCTGGTTTTTGGAATGCTGGTCCTGTCACGATTTGTTTGTAACTGATATAATTAACAGAGGAAATTATACTTACTGACTCCGATCATGTTATTTAAATGTACCCTAAATTAATTAGAATGATTTTCATGGCACACGCTAGATGTACGAGTCTATTTCAACAATATAGTGATCGGCAAAAAGCGCCGCCATCCCAAGTCCCTAGTGTATTAACCTATTCTACAACTGTGAAGTAAGCTAATAGGTTTTTGACAATGATACATTCGCTTACAACTTTAGAAGTAGCTTAAATTTAAAAAGCAGTCTATAAAAAATATACAACCTTTTTGTAATCCTAGGTATTGTGTACACAAGATTCAAAGTTTTTTTATTAGTTTTATATGAAAGTAGTAGACTATGCAACAAAATTCTAAATATCGTGCTATGACGTGATTGTATTGCGTGATCGTTTACAGATGTAGCAATCTGAGCTAATCTAAATCTAATCGAACTAACTGTTATTTCATATTATTTTTTCAGAACTTATTGTGTTAAGTAAGTAATTAATCTGGAACTAATTCTGGAATCAACAGATGAAAAAAAAATTAGTCGTAGGTTGTTCCACTATAGTGTTCCAAATGCTGGTTCGTTTTTACGACTGCATCCTATTGCGAAGGAGTTAAGTCTTCGACAATAGGCCTCTGCCCCAAGTAATCCAGCGGTCACAAACCATCAACAGACCAACTGTCTATACTACACAGGGCCATATGCGCCCGTAAAGGTTTAAGATGATTTATGGCACGGGTATTTACTTACATTTTGAGTTTCTAATGATTGGGGTAATTGAGATTGCAGAGTCCTAAAAACGAAGTCAGACTGAGACAACTATACAGTGAAACATTTTCGAAAGCATTTTCGAAAAACTATAAAGTTTGATATTGCGAATTTTATTTTTTTTTTTTTTTATGAAAATATCAATTGAAACTTGAAGTTGAAATAAACATACATATATAATGTTAAAGTAAATGTAAAAAGCGCGCTACGCGTATGTTTCATGTGAGTTTTTACTTTACACAATTTTGTGATGACGTCCACATTTTTGCAAGGACACGTATATAGACTCGAATTAGTGCAGTGTAATACTAATAGTAACAGTATTTATTCCCAAATTTTCGGGGAAAATTTTTAATCAACGAAGCAAATTTAATCATTCATTAATTTTTTTTAGCCACCTCTATAAGTCAATTTAAAAAATATGAATCCAACGATAAATTAGGAGTAAAATTTAATTTCTCGAAATTGCGATTGTTTCGTTTTGTTTCGTTTCGTGCTAGGAAATTTTCACTTAAAAATCTATTCCATATTTGAAGAAATCAAAAATGACGCCTAAAAGCTGTATATGGAAATCGACACTTCTACGAATCGAAGTGATTTTCTATTAGCTACCAAAACATGACAGTACACTACAAATAACCTTTCTGCAAAAGAAAAAAAATGGTCTAAGGTTATTTAAATAGAACATCCCTCACCTCTGAAGTACAGGCGAACAAATACAGCTTCTTTGAAAAATTATAAATATAATAATTTATAGGAGTAATATAAATTTTATTTGACGAATTTTATTTTTTTATGATAACTCCAATAAGTTGAACTAAAACCTCGAATAAAACTATGCATGTATTGTTAAAGTACAGTTAAAGAAGCATGATATATGAATGTTTCAAGTGGGTTTTTTCCACAACAAAATTAATAGATATATCAATTTCAATAGGTGCTATATAATACTAATAGTAATGGTACTGTATACTCAAATTTCCGGGAAACTGGGGTGAGCCGTTCTTGATTTGATCAATAAAATAAATTTCCTAATTCAGTAATTTTTTGAGTCATCCTGTAATTCTAAAAACTATGGACGCATTCTTAACCCGTCAAGTTTAGAGTCATAGGACATATTTTGCATATTGTAGACAGGATTTACTAGGCAAAATTTTGAGATGACGTTATCAATTTTTTGAGAGGGGGTAAACGCACAAATTTTGACCAACGATCTACTATGGTTAGGATAACCTTAAAACGTTTGCAAGATTTCAGAGCATTCGGTTTGGCAGTTGTAAAGTTAAATTGCAAAATGTTGTTTTATAATTGTGATTTTTTTTTCAAAAATTTGGTGTTTAGTGTAAAAACTCACGAATTCATAAACCACAAGTGCAGGAGTTCGTTATTTTATAAAATTTAAAAAACATTTAAATTTTGGAGATTACCTCATCACACTATTGGTGAAGATGCCCAGGCAAATTTCGGTTTGCCTTTTACCATCTACACGATGTTTCTAACAACCGTATAAACTTGACACTAGTGGTTTCGAAGATTACCTGTGTAACAGAAATTAACACAGATGACAGACGGCTCATGGCACACAGCAGACCGAAGCAAGGGACCTATTTTTTTCTTACTGTAGTAGTCATGGAACACGGAGAACACACGAAAGTAGCCAGTAGCCCGATGCACCCTACTGCTTTAGCTTACGCTCGAGAAGTATAAAGTACCACAAAAGAAATTTTGTTAATTTTTATCTGATAATAGTTGTAACCATTGAAGTTAAGATTAAAAAATGTACGATTTCTAGCAGGCACAAGAAGTCGTTTTTTCAAAAAAATGAAGGTTTTCCTAGAAGGTTTGTGTGATTCGACAATACATCAAAAATATTCAAAGTTGATTCTCTAAATTTATAAAATAAGTTATTTACCCAATCGTTCGCTGTATCGAATGATGACGACGAGAAGTCGCGACGCGACGTTGTAGGGTTATTAATGCCTCATTTTTGTCAAACGAGAGATCTTATTTCAAATTCTTGTGACGTAATTGCATTGTCTTTTTTGTCCTGGATTGCTATTACTGGTTTTAATGAAGTCGTGAGCACTTCACTCCCCGTGTACAGGACTGGTTCATATTACTGTTTGTCTTGCTGACACTTGAAGATAATTCTCTTTATCTCGCAGTAGCAGATTTTGAAGCAGTTTATACAACTGTTTTACGAGACAAAAATTCAACATTACTAATACGTGAGGTAAAATGCACATTACTAATGAGTGATGTAATGTAATATAGCTATGGATACTGGGTACTAATACATCTATCTAACGACAATACAATTTTTTACGTTAACTGAACATTCAGTTTTTATTTATCTTATTCGTACTTTTATGTAATAGCTGCTACTGTAAGATAAAACCTCGTATATCATCCGTGAGCGAAATACTATTATAAGCTCGTGAGATCAGTATAACTCGTACTAAAGCGCTCGCAATTCTAATTCTTACTCGCATATTATATTCCATTTTTGTCGCTCGTAATATAAAATAATATTATTGCAATATAAGAACCTAACTTATACCATTTCGACGTCTAGGTAATTTAAAATAAAACAATTATGGTCCGTAATTAGGGTACGTAAGAATAAAAGAATTCAAGAATAACTTTTACTTGACTTACAAATAAAAACCGACAAAGTTTTTATTAAGTCATCGCTGTCCCTCTTGGCGTATAACGGTTTTGTTAAAGTCTTTTTACTTTTATCTTCTTTTATCTTGTACATAGTTTAACAGAGAAATTAAAGTGACTGTTACACCGATGTAGTTATTGGTACACTCTTATAAAAAAAAACTTAACATCGAAATGAGAGTAGTATTATTTTTCTTACTATACAAATTAATTTTCTTCAGAATTTAGTTCACAACTCTCGTATATGATACTTTTTTATTTAAAAATTCTATTTGCCTTAATAAATATTTAATTATATCTTAATTTTCGTAGTTTACCTCTTCCTGCTCTCACGTTCTTTCAACTGCTCAAAATAATCAACTGCTTAAATAAGAACATTGTTCTACATTTTGCTAGTATCAAATTTGGTAGTAAATCGTTTTTCGGTCAATGTTGAAGAAAAAGTAATTCCAATATCGCGGTAGATTTAAACAGTACATAAACGAACTCAAGAGATCTGAAACCGTGAAAATGTGTTGAAATCTTCGTTTCAAAAATTTACTTGATTCTAACGAGCTCTCTATCAGGAAATTTAAAACACTATTAAAAAGAAGGTAAAAAACACAGAAGTTGTATTTTCATATAAGAAAATCGACTTATTTCGGATTTTTTGTAAGAAATTAATTATTTTGTTTATATTTTGTATATTGAAAACTTTTGATGTATCCTGCATAGTAACAATAAAAGGCGTAGCAGTATCTCTCATATTGAAATTATTTTTCGCAAAGTGAATAGTGACTAACTATATTTTACGCAATATATTAAAATAAATACTGTCGCAACAGTTAAAACTATACCAAAACGATGTAGTATACAACTATTAGTTGAAAGGATGCAAACTATGTTTTGAGTTCCATATTTGTTTACCTAGTTATGATGAACAACTGCAAAGGCAGGTATCCAATTGTTTCCAAATACAGGGTTTAATAAGGATTCTACTTTATTTGGAGAATATACACTCAAATCACTACTTGCGTAAGCAAGCATAAACTGCGTCGAACATGCGGACTTGACTCTACGACTACTCAGCAACACCGACTATGTATAACTGGCAAAAGCGGGGCGGCTCCTCCGGTATTGATCATGAAGCACCCAACAAAACACTCCCCACACCCCCCTCATAGATCGAGCATCCAGGATTCTGGCAGGGCATTGCACTTCTCCAGGAAATATGTCTTTCTTTTGGTGCACCATATCGATCAGGAAAACATTTCATGTCCTGAAAATGTGTCAGTAGGAATTTTATATAAATGAAATGCTAAGTTTAAAAGAAGCCATAGGTGGAGCTCCTCGTTATTGACGTTACTGACAATGCTTTAACCTTTAATTTCTATAAGAATAAAAAGTACATTTTAAAATATTTTAAACTTCTATGAGCATAATGTTTTATTATTCACATTTACATTTGCCATAGTAAATTTTACTCTACACGAAATTTATTAGTTATGTTGTAATTGTAGTCACACTTATGTTATCCATTAGACTTTCCTCACTATGAAATTTTATAGTATCAATAAACTGGCGACAAATCATATTAGCCAATCTCTTTAGTATCAAATAACAATGTCCAATATTGACAAACAATTATATCCGTTTATGTTTATATACCTATTCACCATCGTTGCTTGATTTTTCTTGATATATTAAATCTGTGTTGATATCTATGTTTCTTATTGGATTTGTATTAGCTGTAAGACTTTTACAAATATTTTTGTCGTTGATTAGAATGTGTTTTAGCCCGGCGCATCCACCATAAATGAATACAACTTGCAGTTGCTCAAATATGTTCCGGAAAATAATATAAAATTTGAACAATGTAATTGCATTCTTGCGACACAAAATTTCAACAGACAATCCACGCAAAGATGCCGAGAAGATGGCAACGGCGTCGCGGTGGTGACATTAGATGTTCGCTATGAAGACTTCAATGTTGTTTTAACATACCATTGTGAATCAGTATTTAAAATGCTACACATTTTAAAAATTAAAACGAGACCACTTCCATAGACAGTATATGCTATCACTTGAGTTTTGAAGTCTCCGGTTGAAAGCATACGCAAAACAAATATAACTATAAACTTCATAAATCCCGACAAAAGATTTACCTTCCATTTTGTTGTCTTCATCACTTTGCTTTATTGCTTTCTTAAACCAAACAACCAGTTATTACTTTTTTACTAAATTAAATAATAACACATCACAGCAGTAAACCAAAAATACACCTTTGAGTGACATTAATCAATTTAGATTACACTGCTAATAAAGAACAATGGTCGAAGATTACTTCGACAGAACTTCCGCCGCGCATAAAGTACACCTTGTCAAATCCAGCTCTTTCGAGAAATTAAAAGATTTGATTTTGCGAATTTTATTGTTTTTTGTGGCAACCATTATAAGCTAAAATAAAACTATATATCTAATGTTTAAGTAAAGGTAAAGAAACGTGCTAACCGTTTGCTAGTTGTTACAAGGGAGATTTTCTATTACAAAATCAGTTTGGATATACCATTGTAATACTAATACTAAAAATATTGTATTATAATTATTCTTGAATCGTCATTTATAGTCAATAAAATAACGAAACAATTTAAACACGTCTGCCGTATGTAATAACAGAGGTACGAGCAAAGACTGAACTGAAAGTCATTTTTGTACTCGTAACTTAAAGCCAGTCCCCACGTTTTCTCAGCGGAATTTTCGCTCTATTTTCAAAATGTAATATCTCCGTTATTAACAGATCTATAGTTTTCAAATTTTAAATATATGTTGTCCATAACTTTCTTTATATAACGCAAGGGCAATTTTGTTAAAAACAGCTTGTGATCATATTATTTTTTTAATTTTAGTGAAATTTTTGCATAACGTATTTTTAAAAATCAATATTTCAGTTATTTATGGAAATTTTGGAACGGGGTTGTCACCACTGTTTTCAGCTTGCAAAACTTGAGAAATTCTACGAGGTCGATTTTTGACTTTATTTGTTGGGACTGAGATATAGTAAAAATAAAAGTTTGCAACTTCCATGATATACGCTTTTTTTAACTGTGTATCGTTTCTAAAAAATAAAATCGACGATATGTCTCGTATGATTTCTGGAGTTTTGTAAGCTGAAAACAGTGTTGAAAACCGTGTTCTGAAATTTTATTTAATAATTGAGATATTGATTTTTAAAAATACGTTATGCAAAAATTTCACTAAAATTAAAAAAATAATATGATCACAAGCTGTTTTTAACAAAATTGCCCTTGCGTTATATAAAGAAAGTTATGGACAACATATATTTAAAATTTGAAAACTATAGATCTGTTAATAACGGAGATATTACATTTTGAAAATAGAGCGAAAATTCCGCTGAGAAAACGTGGGGACTGGCCTTAAGACAAATAGCGATAACATTTATCAACCTGTAGATGTAAGAGTAAAATGTTTTCTAAGAATTGCAATAACCGGATCACAATGCAGACGGTCCAGATTTTTTTATTAGTCTGACTTTCGCTTATTGAATAAAACACTACATTTTATTTTGATTTTCGATGTTGTAATTCACATTTGGTTAATTATAACTTGTCTAGATGTAGGGAAGGTTCAGCATCCCCTAGCCTCCCCTTAGTTACGGACTTGTTTAGGCGTTATGATATATCGAAAAAATATAAAAGTACCAAATTGCCCGATGGACTCCATTACTCTACGTCCTTAGGTTATCCTCGATAAGAAAAACGACCTGAAAATGTTTATGTTTATACATCGGAAGAATGCTACATAGAAATTAGTTTGATTTGAATGAGTTCGTCTCATCAAAACAGTGGATCAAAACTAAATATTAAGTAGTAAGCTACAATCGACAAAATGTTCTGAATGTCATTATTATAATTTTTAATAAATAAAGACGTTTGTATTTTCACATTTTCTGGAAAATGGGGTGAGTCGTTCTTAATTTGATGAAAAATATGAATGCCAAGTAAAAACTCATCATATTTTGCACATTTTGGGTATAATAAACTGATTTATTTTGATTAACAATTTACCATGCTTACAATGCCAGTAATTTTCATATAATGCAATGATAAATTACAAGTACAGGTTAATCATACTTTGCAAATTTTAGATAGGATTTATTGAGCAAAACTTTCAATTTTTTGGGGTTGATAAACAGATACATTTTACTTAAAAAGTTACCATGCTTACAATAACTTCAAAACGTCTACAAGATCCCAAACTTTCAGTTTTACAATTCTTTATGTAAACAATAAAATAAATCATTAATTTATTTAAGACATCCTGTATAAATAAACCTAAAAAATGTGAATACAGTGATAAATCACAAGTTTGGACTCATCATACTTTGTACATTTAAGATAGAATTTGTTCAGCAACATTTTGAAGTGACGTCATTATTTTTTTAGGGAGGATAGCAAATACATTTTGATCAAAAGTTTACCATGCTTATGATAACTTAAATCATCTTTAAAATTTCAAAACATTCGATTTTGTAGTTTCTGATTAAATCAATAAAATAAATTTTTGAGTCAATGTATAAGCAAATTCATAATATTTTCTACATTTTAGATAGGATTTATTCGGCAAATTTTTGAGCTGACGTCATCAATTTTTTGGAGGGGATAGTAAATATATTTTGATTAAAAATTTATCATGGCTATCACAACTTTAAAACATCTGCAAAATTTCAAAGCATTCGGTTTTTTAAATTGCAAAATTTTGTTTCATAATTTTGATTTTTTTTCTAAAAGTCTGGACGTTTCGGGTAAAAACTGAACACGGAATCATAAACTACATGTGTAGGATTATGTTATTTTATACAATTTAAAAGCCATTTACTATCTGCAATTTTGAAGTGACGTCATCACATTATTGGTGGGGATGATTAGATAAATTTTATTTAGCGTTTTACTATCTACATGATATTCCTAATATAAATACAAAATTTGACAGCAATCGGCCCAGTACTTTCTTAGATTATCATGACCCCTAGAAGACGAAGAAATAGGTCTCCCATTTCCGTCTGTCTGTCCGTCTGTCCGTCTGTCTGCCGTCCCGGATTTTTATTAGACAGATAATCTCCGAAAGTACTGGACCGATTGTTGTGAAATTTTGTATTTATATTAGGAATATCATGTAGATGGTAAAACGCTAACCAAAATTTGTCTAATCATCCCCACCACTAATGCGATGACGTTACTTCAAAATTGTACATAGTAAATGGGTTTTAAATTGTATAAAATAACATAGTCCTACACATGTAGTTTACGACTTCGAATTGAGTTTTTACCCGAAACGTCCAGATTTTTGGAAAAAAAATCTAAATTATAAAAAATTTTGCAATTTAATTTTGAATCTGCTAACCCGAATGTTTTGAAATGTTGCAGATGTTTTAAGGCTATAAAGAGCATCATAAATCTTTAGTCAAAATATATTTGTTATCCCCTCCAAAGACTTGTTGATGACGTCAGCTCAAAAGTTTGCCGAATAAATCCTATCTAAAATGTACAAAATATGATGAGTGTGTACTTGTGATATATCACTCCATTCATATTTTTTGGATTTGCATATACAGGGTGACTCAAAAAAATTAATGAATGCGTAAGTTTATTTTATTGATTTACTCAGGAACTACAAAACCGAATGCTTTGAAATCTACTGCGAAAAAAACATATTAGACATGCAGTCGTCACGTTTCCAACAGCGAGGGAAATACTGTCTAAACTCTTTAGACCAATTGTTTCGCACAAGTTTAAAGTTTGTCAATTAAACGAGTGAAAAAATAGCTTTCAAAACATGTTACACACGTCATTCTTTTTTAATAAAAAATGGCTTTAAAATTACAAATGTCAAATTAAAAATTTATAGATTTATCAAAACCAATGAAATCGTGAAAAAACTGTCATTACAGTTTTAAGTGAAAAAATTATTATTTTCTTTACGTTTGATATTTTAAAAATTAAGTATTTTTTTTTAATAAAGTTGGTGCGAAGAAATTTGAATTTATATCTACATATATTAACAATTAATCTTGGAGTTTCCTGCATTCTTTGCAGAAAATTTTTTGGTCACTGCCAATTAGTTCTGGATTATCTTTAATCCATGATAAAACCAAAGATGTTTTCTCATTCAGAACTTTTTTGAACGCTGACACTGTTAATGAGGCGCTAATAGATACGAAAGAATGAATCATTTATCTCATTCCCTTTGCTAAGGACCTACCCACTAATCTCCACTTTTGACGCCATTTGTGTAAACCAGATCGTAAAAAGATTAGTTTTGAAGTTTTGACCATTGAGGAATGAATATACTGGAGGAAATGCCAGACTTAAAATGATGGTTTCGAGCCAAACTGGTAAACTGTCATAAACAGTACCCCTCATTACCCACATAAGACTGCCGATGACAGTGGCGTACAGTTTTTTTAAGCGGCTCATGAAAATAAAAGTGTTGAATAAAAGAACGCACATAACAGATTTATATTATCTCTTATTTAATATCATTCAAAATGCTGAAATCAATCAATAGATCACGAGTAACAAGTACTACAAACAGTGAATACAGTTAAAAAATAGAAACAACCAGGATGACGATGCCACTGAGTAGTGGTTATTCGCAATGGCGTGACTAATTTCTAGCTTGGAAAGTTTGAAAAGTTTATTGAGGGGTATTTCACTTGGACCGCCAGTCGGCAAATAATTGTGAGTGAATAGTCATTCACTCACAATTATTTGCCTAATCTACCGGATGTCTACGGGCAGATGTAAACTGCAGTGGATCTAGTGCTTTAATCTTCTCTAGTCCATGTTATAAATTTTTGTAGGGTGCAAAGTGTGGCGAATAATAAAATCAGGTAGCAGCCCGTAGCAGGGTCACTCATGGAAAACTGCGAACGAATAAGGTAAATTTATGAAACACATGCGTCGTAAACCACGCCTTATTTTCGTACAAAAATTGACCTGGACAAGATTGACAGCTGTACAAATTCAACAATTTGGTTATGTGTGAGTCCAGTATTGTGAACGTCGCCTGCGTTGATATACTTATTAGTGCAAAATTTAACTTTTATTTTTTCAAGCAACCCTTAATAACTACTCCCAAAACAACCCTGTAGACCTTGGACTTACTTCTGCCGAGTCGTATCTACGTATATCTTCTACGTCAGGGTTTTGCAAACTTATAGCCCCACGTACCCCTGTTAAATTTTCCGGACGGCTGCGACCCTCTTTAAAAAAATCTTAGCACTGAAGTAAATAAGGTTTTTTATTTCAAATAAATGGAAGATAATACAATCACAAAAAGCAATGTGTTGTTTATCGATGTGATGGGTCGGATTGTTTCTTTTTAGGACCAATTTTGGTCAACTTTATTCTTAATTTTGATCGTTGCAATTCAGCAACATGTGAACTTAGCAACTACTGAACAAAATTATTACATTTCAACTGACTGGTTAGGTATAGCTAATTTTAATACTATAAACAGATTTATTTTTTAAAAGTTTTAACAGTTTTGGAATAATATTATAATACCTAACTACTTAATTTTATGGTAAATTGTAATGTTCTCATTTGATATTTCATTGTAAAATATGCTGTATTAGACTAAACCAAATGAACCTATTATATAACATTCTATCAACATCGAAATTATTTTTGATACTTTCCGATATGTCATGGTTTATCGATACAAAAATGGATTATCGATTATGGCTACCGAATAGACTGTGTCGCCCATCCCTTATCCAGTGGCGGCTCGTGAGATTTTTGGTAGGTTGGGCAAGTTGGTGAAGCGCTAGGTACCTAATCAAAAGTAAGTATGGTTTCTATGACGAGGTTCTTACAGCCTAAAAATTCTAAGTATTTATGTTGTGCTCCTGTTAACTGCCATAACTTTAAATTTGACGCCACAAGCCCGTAATAACTTGTATATTTGCATCCAGTTACTTTGATTCAGATTTTGCTTTGTTGTTGTTGCATTGATTCAAAACATTAGCATAGGGTTTTTGTACTTGTTTGGTTTTCATATGTGTATGTCTGTCAATTCGGGGTTGTCTTTTCTTTCATAGTTTAATGTGTGTTATTTGCATATTATATGTTGGTGAATATACCATAGGGAGTTTTTGGGGCTGAGGAGTGAATGCGAGATGGCAAGTCCGTCTAGCCCTCGCTCGCAGCTATTTTCCTCGTAAAGGGGGGGCGCGATTTTTAGCGCCCCCCAAAATTTTGTCTATTATTTCTTTCGCTCGCGGCTCACACGCAGTGTATCCTCATTTGTATGAAAGAACGTCTTCTCGCCATGTTTAAAAAAAACACACAACGTATATATATTATTTTTCAAAATTTAAGCAAATTTCAAGGTTAACAACTTACCAGTGTAGTTAGCGGAGATCACAACCCTCGCAAAACTGTAGGGTCGCGGACGTTACAGTAAACAACACGTTTTGTTGTACATATGTGTTGTACTCGTCTATAATATTGTAAACAAAAGAAAATGTAACTAAATAGTATGTTATATAACAGAAAACACAGAATTTACATTGCTTTCACTCTCATGTTTCAACACTGCTGCTGTACATAGCAAGGACTTTAGAGCCGTTTGCATTGAGGGCTTAATGCTGATTGTTGTTGACATTAAATGCCAAATGAAAAAGTGACAAGCTGACAAGTTATTAGAAAAACATTCTGATTCAGAATCAGAATCGAGAGAAATTATGATTGGGGGTATGTCTTCATATGGTGCATTACCCATTAAACGCTTCCAATCATCCCTGATCAGCCGTTCACAATGTCTAATAAAATTTTGCCATTTGTCTGCACCTACTGTAGCAAGAGCCTCCCGCCATAAGGACTGTACAATACCAATAGCACCACCGTGTTCCCGAATATGTTTATTGTAATATAGTTTACACTGTCCCCACGCCAGTTCAATTGGATTATACTGACAGTGGTAGGAATATTGAAAAATAGGTGGATAATTCCTCTTGCTCTCGTCACTGCCATACCATTTATCCTGGGCATATTTATAAATCTGTTCCTTTAGGATCTCTGCTGGGTGCTTTTAAATTGTTCTTCTAACTTCCCCACTCCGTAAGAACATAATCTATCATAAATATTGCGATAGAACGCGCTCATAGAAACGATTCAAAATTAATGCGGTTCTTGGCGTCTCAAGTGACAGATCAGTCACTATTGCATTGTCGATAAAGTAAAATAAGGAGGTGTAAAAAAATACTAAACTACACAGTTAAGAGTAAATTTTTGGGTTTTGCGTGTCCTTGACCTTCGCGCCCATTTTGAAAAATAAATAGGTTCCGTTGTTTAGACGATCACAGCCAAGGCCAAATTTTGAATTTTTCGCGGGTCTTTCAAACTTTTCAAGTGTCAATTTAAAGGCGGGAAGTTTGGGTTATCACAAACATGATAATTTTTTGTGTAAAGAATTCAGTAAGTGGTGACTTTCGACTCAATTGGAGTATTTTTAAGCTTCAGTATGAAAGATTGCTTTGGGATACTGGGGATACAGCTTAAAAAAAGGCTGATTTTTTGCATTAACACTTCTCGTATAGATAAACAGGCAAACACTAAGTTTCGATTTGGTAATAATATTTTTAAGGCCCTTTCTGCAAGATTGTTTTGGGGGTAGTTTTTAACGGTTGCTCTGACCGAGTTGACATTTTGCATCAACAATCTTCGGATTGAGAAATAAGCAATCTCGAGTTTTGACTTGATTGGAGTATTTTGAACCCCCAGTCTGCAAGTCTGTTTTGGGGGTAGTTTTTAAGGATTTTTGCGAACGGGTTAAAATTTTGTGACAACAATCCTCGTATTGAGAAATAAGCAAATGTCGAGTTTTGACTTGATAACAATACGTAAAAGTATTGTTAGAAATCTCCAACACATTATTAGTTATCATAATTGTGTATTTCATTTTAATAAACAATAATAATTTCTGTACCTATTATTATTATGATGCATAATAAAAAAATGCTGTTTTTGATTTTGACTGGCTGAAACAATTTCCGCTGATTAATCTCGCTTGGTTAATAAGGGAATAAAATTTCCAGGAAAACTTTGTCTGCACAAATATGAAAAGTTATCAATAGTTACTTTGGAAAAAACAAACAACATGGATGTAGGTATATAATTGGTCCTTTTTTTTATGGCCGTAGGCTTGGTAATTTTTTTATCTTCATAGAAGAATATTTCCATTATATATATGTCAATAAGACTACAGGGTCCATCCATCAAATCAGTAACACGACAGGTACTTTTAAAAAGAGTGTACCATTTACATACAATATTAAACTTTAGACTCCACCTTTGCAAATGCCGAACAAACTTCAGGTATGTGGGTGGGTTACGTATAAAAACACAGACTAAATGATAACAAAAACTTTAGTTTCTTTTATTTGTATGCATCTAATACATAAACAAGTACATAACACGCATGTAAAAACGTAAACAGTTGTTTTATCAATTTTTACAGTTAGTCAACAATGATCAAAAATTTTATTTTGCTTAAATTTACATTTACATATCAAATATAACAAATATCAGAATAAAAAAATATTTTTCAAATTAAGCAAATTTTTAAATAGAATTTTAATCACTGTTACTTCAGTAAGGAACATATGTTCCTATACATCCAGAAACTTTTCTAAACAAACAAAATGTCAGTTAATATTCAATCTTTGAGACCTGGACCAAGGTTGTTCTCGTGCACTGGCGAATGCAACATAAAATAAGTTAGCGCCTATGTTGATGCCTGCAGCCAAATAGAAAACTAGTCTCCACTGGCCCAATGTCTCCTAAAAAAAAAAACATTAACATAAAATTCAGTAAATATAAATCACCAACCAAATGCACTACTAAATACACTTATTTGTATTATTTATAAAACAATCGAGTTGCAAATGGGCTTGTTATTTCTGGAGTGAATGAGAAGAAAATAAGGCATCCGAAAAATAAAAACAAAGTTTGTTCCAAAGTTCTGTATGTAGATTATCTACATGTGAAATTTGGGAAACAAGTAGACTCGATCAGAAACATAATGCATGTATTATTTGTCTAGATGAGGCGTTTACTTGTTTAAATTCCATGTTAACTTGATTAGTAAAGTAGAAAAATCCATAAAATTGCATCAGCACTAGTATATCCATAATTAAAACAACCCAATAGCATAACTTATTTTGGAAAATCGTCCGTAAAAATGTCAAAAATACTGCAAGATGCAGGCTGTAAAATAGCTTTCCGAACTAATAATTCTTTACTTACGTTAATCAACAATAGTAAAGACAAGTACCTCGAACTAGTCTCGCGATCTATGCAGACGACACCGTCATCCTTATACAATGTGACCACCTACTTAGTCTCCCGCTGATGCGTTGGAGAAGTACGCTGGTTTATCCAATCATTCGCCTCAGTAGCCTGAGCTAAGGGTCTTCCCGAAAACCAATTTCGTTCTGGAAGTCCGAAAGACAAAAATTCTCTGGCAAACTTTCAGGGCTCCCTGGTTTGTCAGGAACAACCACATTCTTCGGGAGGCCAACATTCCGAAGTTAAAGCTATTTCTGCACGAAACTGCACTTCGCTCCTTCAAGAAAGCTGCACGACACCCCAACCTTTGGTCCGAGAAACCGTCGACTATGAGTTCGACGAGGAAGCTTCACGAAAACGCAAGCGACCGCACAGGGCGCAGCTTGGCGACAAAATTGGTGTGTGATCTGATCCCACTCGCTGCTCCTACCGACCAGCTAACCCCGACCTTCCCGAAAAGGCAAGTAAGTACATCTAATGCCAGCGCATGACGCACATTTTTTTTCTGTTTCAGATCCTTACACCGGCCACTAGAGGAGGACTGTAAAAGTATTACCTATTATGGGGGCAACCTCCTAGGCGAATCAATAGCTCAAGCGAACTGCAGTCGCATAGCACCTATGTGACCACTCAGAAGTCAAGACCCAGGTGAAGAAGACAAACTTTTGATACCTGAGCAAAAGGTGGAAAGGTTTTAGGCTGTTAAGCAATTTATTGCAATCCCCCAGTATCCCCTGTCGAGAACCAACACGGTGGTCTACCCAAGGCATTTCTCCTCCCCACAAAAAAATAAATACCAGTTTCTCTTCTGCCTGAAGGTGGTACTGTGTACCATAACACGTGTAGCAATGTCTACAAATAAAATAATTTAAACTCTAAAGTTTTTTCTTTACTAATCAAGTTATAACGCATGCACCTTATGTGCAAAAACGACTTTCCGTTTCCGTTAATATTATATTAGCGTGTAGATTTAAATTTGCAAAAATTACTATTAACGATTATTAGCAACATTCTGCATCCTGAAGATAAAATATACTAATGATATAATTTAAAATATCACATTGTGCAATATTTCTAGTCAGTGATCAGGTGAAACTAGCGCTAAAGCCTTATCTCCTTAATCCACATTTTGAAAAAAATCAATCGTATGCAAGTTAGAAGTGCATTATACATTAATTAAAATAGAACAGAAAAAGTTTTTATCTTTGGTACTATGAAAAATTTCTTTGTAACTCATGACAAAAAAATACATTTGAAATGAATTAATAATTACTTACCCGACCTTCTATTATTAAACCTATGACATAAGGTGCAAGGAATCCACACATATTTGCTGCGGCATTCGTTATGCCGTACATAGTTCCAGCATACTTCGGACTAAGAGCTATATGATTCATTTGATTGCCCGCATAAACTGCCCCGGCAAGGGCTCCGGGTAGAGCTAAAAGTAATTGTACGGCAACTCTATTGCACCCAACATACGCAACTCCTAGTAATCCTAACGATGGAATGATCGAAGCTATAAATGATTTGTTAAAATTTTAGGTGCTTTATAGGATTTGTTTATGTACCTATGGAATTGAAGATTTTATATGAAGTCGACAGCGATAAGTAGCCGTGACCTAATAACCAATCAGCAACAATACTAGTGGCAATTCCACACCACCAACTCGTGAGATATGGTATTGCTGATAAAAGAGCGTTGGCCTGAATGTCAAAATGAAGAATTTGACTCATATAGGTTGGCAGTTCAGTCAGTTGGGTGTAAAATGCCCAAGACTGACCACACTGTGTTATTAAAATTGCCCACAATGGTACGCACGTTAACATTTTCAACCACGGTATCGGGGCCTTTTCGTCTTCATCCTGCAAAAAAAAACAATTACTAAAGTGCTGTTTAACATTCACAACATACTTGAGGGCCCATGCTGGCTATAATAAATGCCTTTTCTTGTTCGTTTATTCTAGGATGGGACGACGGTGAGTCATATATCAAAAAGTACCAAAATCCAAACCATAGTAAGCCTAAGAAACCAAATAAGTAGAAACATAGAGGCCAACCACCTCCCCACTCCAAAGAGCATAACCAACCCGACACAGGTAAAGATATCACTGTTCCAAAGTTAGCTCCTAAAATCATTTAAATTACATTATTTACAGCAAAGCTGTAACCTAAGATATCAAGACATTTTTAAAAAACTACATATATTTTATTTTCTACCACTGACCCATCAAAAATTGAAAAATGGGGTTATTTACAAGGCAAGAAACTACGCTTTTGCGAATACGAGTGAATTTGCCAGGCCGAGCGTTAGCGAGACCGCAACAAGCGAGTAGTCGCGAAAGGTGTTTCTGACAGAGTGATGCACACTATTTTTTGGGTGGAGTAAATGTATTATTTATTAAAAAGTGACAATCGGTGCGCGCTTTCTTTTGTATAGAAACCAATGAAATTGTTAGGTCTAGGACTGAAACAAGTATTAAGAGAATGGTGGTAAAAATATAAGTTGTGTAAGTGCCCTTGAATTTTATGGACTCGTGTGCGTCTGAACGGAGTCGCACATGAGATGCTGACGAGGAGTTCTGGGGCAAGTGAAGGCAGAACGTACTCATACGTCGAGAGAGAGAGAGAGAGTTTCACACATTCGGTTGTCTCTTTGTTTTAATAAAAACTTATCTTAAATTGAAGAGCGTTTATAGTTGCAGTTTTATAATAATTTATAAGACTATAAATTACTATAAACATACAGCCTGAATAAATTTGGAATGCAACCCAAAATACATCTTCGCCACTATCGTGGATATCATTAAATTACAATTAAAGCATTAAACATAGTAACCTAATGCTTGTCAAGAGTTTTGACAAAAATTTCACATTGAAAGAAAAAAACTTGGTTTCTTTTTTAATTAATGTAATAATGTTGTCCCTGGTTTCTCTCGCATGCGCCAATCCGATCCCAAAAAGATGCCTTAACACGCATTAATGTCTCGGGAGTAATGACTCTAATCGGTTCTATATTTTTTCTTCTAATAAATTGTTTACTGAATACGGTAGACCATCTCTTTCACTGTGGCTCACAGAAAGACATCTAGGGATGTCATACCTAGATGTATGTCTTGTACCATATGATATTTTCAATATTTTCAAACTTGATCCATAAAACTTAAAAAATGTAGTATAGCTTAGTTTTAAATATTTCTATTATTTTTTTAGGCAAGATAAATCGAAATTACGTCCATAATGACGGGTAGTTACATAAAACGGTCGACGCATTTAGTGCAGTAACCGATACAATTGCGTGTCTTATAACTAAGTTGGTTGTGGCGACAGCTGAAGGGTTACGGACCTTGTCCAATGCGCAAAAACAGCTCTGGTCTATGAGTTAGTTTAAACAGTTCAAAGTCTTTGTGTTCTGACCCTAAGATGTTGGTTATATGCAAGGGCGTTCGTCCGTTCGTATTGCTGGACTAGGTATAAATTAAATATTTCTATTGATTTTATTTATGATCTAGATACACATTTTTTTCATCTCGTTTGACCACTATACACTTAAATCAGGAACAACTAAGAGGTACTAGGCTAAATAACAAACTTTTACAGTTTACTTTAATTTACCAATTCCAAAAATGCTGGACCAAACATTGGCCTGTTATAGTCCTTTTCAAAAACAATGCAATAAAGAGGTAGGGTTGGTTAGATTCATTTTACTATGCATTATTAGAGAATGAAATTTAATTTGGAAAGATGCATTTATTGAACGTGTAGATTTCTGACAACAATATTACTTCAGGTATACGTGCTACTGCCAACGAGACCTGTTATTACTTAAGGAGACGCACTCGATAACGTTTTAAACTATGTTCTCTCCTGTTAACCTTATCGCCTATCCTTATTGTCAGAATCTATTTTGCATTTGAAAAAAATTTTGCAGTTGTATCTAAAATGGCATATCAAAAAGATTAGAATGAAAAATGAAATTGCAAAAAAAAAACAAAAAAAAATTATGATATAACATTCTGATAGGCAACACTTAAAAGAATATAGAAACTTCCTAAACATGTCAATGTTATAGGTATATACAGGGGTGCTAAAAAGTATGAATATAGCTAAATATTTCCAGAACGGTTTATCAGAACTCATTGAAATTTGGTATACAGGTAAAAGTATTAAAATTCTACTCTTTGAAATGTTATTGAAATTTCCATCAACTTTGTTTTGGTGATGCAAGGCCAATTTAATTTTTTTAACGGCATGAGGGGTCAAATTTAATATTTTTAAAAAACATTTTCTTATGCATTCAGTGATGTCTTTCCTTATTTGGATTAAAAAATAAAAAAATATATTAAAATAATACTGATAATACAATTTGTAAAATGTGAAATTTATTTATTTGATTAATTCTTTATCGCGTTGATAGAAAAAATGAATGAAAAGTGTTTGTCATTTTGACGTAGACTGGAATGTGGATGATGACGTATATATGTCAAAATTTATTTTTTAAAAGTGTCAATCGTTATTATTATGACAATAAAGCATAGACTACATCGTGTTTTTTTTTAAATGACAGAAAAATACTGCCCAAGATTTTCTGGCCGAAACTGTATTATTTTAACAGTTTTTTTAATCACAATAATTTCTATTTTTTGAAGCACAGATTAACAATTTATTGCAAAAAGGGATAGTGGAAATTAAAGTAGAGCCCCTTTTTGCAATAAATTGTTAATCTGTGCTTCAAAAAATAGAAATTATTGTGATTTATATTAATTTATATTATTAATTATATATTTATAGTGGAAATTAAAGTAGAGCCCTAAGACTATTTTCACTGCAAAAATCATCTCTGGGTTTCACCCGCACAAAAGTTACAGTTTCGGCCAAGGTTAGTTAATAGAGAACAGGTTACCACATAAACGAGTATGTGGGCAAAATCGCTTACGGGGGAGGAGAGGTGTCAGCCCCATGTGACGTCAAAATGAGGTTGGTATTACTTGGGAATTTTTAGTAACTTGTAATTTTGAGTTGGTGTGACCGATCAGCTGATGCCTTTAATCTCTACGATCTGTACCGCTAATTCTGACGTTTGGTGTTAGTACTGCGACTCGTGTAACCCTATTTTGCCTTAAATTAAATTTATTTGTGTCTAAGCTAAAATGAAATGTTTTGATTATTACTAGAACGGAAAAAGTAAACCAGTAAATGCAGATTTTCAGATTTTTTTGCATAAAAAAAAATCTGTTAATAGTGTCGCATTTGTTATTTTCAAGTTCTACTGGCAGCAAAACATTGTTCTTGAGGTTTATTAAATTGTTCTTTACACAGGATTGAAATTTGCGAAGTAGAAGCGGTCACTTGATTAAAAGTTTCCGTTTTTAGTGCGTTACTCGAGTATTTAAAACGGGCAATTTTCGCGCCATTTGAGAGCCCCTTGTGACGTATCAATATGGCATCCCAATGTGGCAACCTTATCTATTAAATGACTTTGAGTTTCGGCCACAAAATCTTGGGTAGTTCTGTCATTCCAGTGACATAAGCTCTAAAATAGGCTTTACACACTTATAACCTCAAATTTGCCATGCTGGAATGTGGATGATGACGTATGTCAAAATTTATTTTTTTAAGTGTCAATCATTATGACAATAGAGCATAGACTACATCGTGTTTTTTTTAATGACAGAAAAATACTGCGCAAAATTTTCGGACCGAAACTGTAACATGCGGTGTAAAATTTAGCATGTGAATCCCTATGGCTACTTAAAAAAAAAATGCACTGTACTGTACACCAAGGAACAGTGATTAACGTCTAGTAAAAAATCAAGATTATGTAATGTTT